TTGTTATTTTTTTGGTGCCACAAACTCAGAACAAAATTGTAATAAACTATACTTCCTAGAAATTAATCAGCATCCACACATGTGATTTACTGCCCAAAGGATGTTTTCTAAGAAAAAATATTTTCTAAGAAAAAATATTATTTGACAATTTCCATTATTTAGCCATTCTTTTTGCTTCTGCAGCTGCAATTTTGTAACCTGCATTTTTACATAAACATTTCAATTGCTGTCCTGGTACTTTCTTTAGTGTTTGGTTTGGATTCTGTGCCAAACCAGCTTTTTTTCACCAAGAAGCCTCCAGTATGGCTTTAGGGACATAAAGACACATTGTCCACATCAGTATGAAACAGAACCGCAACCTTGTTAAAATAAATTTTTTAAAAAGGGATGCAAAATGTATTTGAACTGCCCAGTTCAAAAACAGAAACCTATTACAAATGAAATAAAAACGAAAACCATCAAAACACGTGGCACTTAGCCATTTTAAATTAAAGGTACCAGCCCACTTTTTTTAAAAAAAACTTTTTGTTTTTACTTGACAGCTCACAAAGTAAGGAAAATACTCCTCGAAAGAAAGAAAGAAAAGGGGGAGGGGGAGGAAGGAAGGAGATGGAAGAAGGCAGCGGGGTTTCCATGCATCTTGCCTCTAACATTGACAATGCAAAGGGAAGTGGGGTCGGAGCTGGGGAGAAAAAAGGTCCTCTAACCTTAGGCAAAGGGGGCTCAAGGTTTGCAAGCAGCCCATCCCACCAGCACCCACACCGAGGAAAGAGCAGAGGGAAGGATCCCCCAAGTTCTGGGCAGGTGAGGCAAAGATAAAAGGTCAATCCATGGGGAGGCGCCCCCTTTCTTCTCCCCCGCCCCCTTCAGACTTACGTGGACTGGAAGCTTTTCGGGAGCAGGCGCCGCCACCGCGCCCCCCCCCTCCTCCTCCTCCTCCTGTCCCCCCAGTCCTGCTCCCCATCTTCGCTCCGCTGCTGCTCCCTCGGCCGCCTCCTCCTCCCCCTCCCCCCGCCGCCATGTTGGGGCTCCCGCGGCGGCGGCGGCGGCGGCAGCAGCAGCAGCAGCGGCGGCGGCGGCGGCGGCGACGACTCTTCCGCCCCCTTCCGTCAGCCGCAGCGGCGCGCCCGAAGCAGCCTGCGCCTTGCGTCAGTGCGCACGTTCCCCCGGATTCTAGGAGGAAGCGCCCGGAACCTTTGGGACGGGGGTCGAGGGAGGCGCCGGAAAGGAAAGGGAACGATCTCAACGGAAAAGTTGTCTCTAGAATAAGAGGAAAACCATAGAGAATGGAGAGAGAGATGGGTGCTTTAAGAATAAATGTTGGTGCTTTGCCATCTAGACACTCAATGGTCCATAGCTTTTATTTTATAGAAAGGCATTTGGGGAGGGAGGGAGATAATAAGTTAATAATTAGGGGGCGTGCATAAGCGCACCAATGTGCCTACCGTCCCTGTCCTAATTTATTTTTATTCTTATATGTACCCATTTCATGTATTCATAACTATGTATATACTTATACCTATTATCTTGTAAGCGATTGACAAAATCAAATGAAAATAAATAAGTCGGATACTGAGAATGATCGGTAACGGTCAACGGTTTTTTTCAAGCGACCAACGTTTCTTAGTACAGCACAAGACCTTAAATGAGTCGTCAAAGTAAGAGTATCACAACCAGGCAAAGATAGATAACGGAGAATGCAGAGAATTGGATCCTGGGAAATGGAGAAAGGAAAAACTGGAAGGAGTTAAGATGAAGGAGGAGAAATGGAAGAAAGGCTACAGTGACACACCCAAAGGAGAAGGGGCGTGGACGGTGGACCTCCTAAAAACAATGAACACCAATTGCTCACTGTATTAGATGCAGGGATTGAGACGTCAAGCCCTCGGGGCTCAGCTTCGTTTCAGCGCGCAAAGAGTTAACATTGCAGAATTGGCATTAGTCGCCCAGGGTCGTTTAAAGTACTATCCGCCCAATTCTTAAACCGCAGAAAATGGACACTGCCTAAAATTGCCTGGGTATGCTCGATTGCTGGTCCCTCTCCTGCCGCAGGCACGATGCCCTCCAATGGCAGTGCCCCTGTTGATTGTGTGCAAGAAAAACCAAGGGGATGGTGTATTCTCCCATCATGGTTTCCCGCTGCTGTTGCTTGTCAAAAACAGCTGGTGGGTCTAATTATGGGAGAGGCAAAGCAAGGTTAGAAACGTCGAAACTTGCCCCAGCTTTTTGCACAAGTGGATAGAAAGCACCCTAACAATTGACAGGTGGGAATAGTTCAAGGGAAGGGGATGGTTGAAAGCAGAGGTCAAATGACTAAAAGCAGCTTTGCATCTCAAGTTTGCCCCTTTGTAAATATATTGTAACCTTGAACTCAGATACAAAAGGGATGGGAATTGTTTCATCAATTATTTTATCTATATCATGTTTCTCAACCTTGGCAGCTTTAAGATGTGTGTGGGTTTTTAACTCGCATAATTGCAGACTGGGGGATTCTGGGAATTGAAGTCCACACATCTTAAAGTTGCTGGGATTGAGCAACATATTAGATTATTGCAGTTGTGTTCCAAAAGCAGAAGTGGGTTCTGCTTTACATTTGTGCGTTTATGTACATTTTTACAGCTTATTAAAACAAATTATTTAGGGGAAAGAATGTAGGATGTAAAGTAGCTCTGTAGCTTGAAATGTAGGGCCTCTAGAAGAAATGTCTACTGATGGTTCACATTCATCACACTCAGCTCCTCCCATCCCTACCAAAAGTGTTGGGGTGTAAGGTTTGGCCTAATATTAGGGATAGATTCAGGAACAAATTGGAAAGTATATCAAGGTTTAGACAGGATATTTCAGAGCTTTTACAATATAGTCCTCAATGTATGAGCACAACTGGAACCAGAATTTCTATTGCTAAGCAAGGCAGTTGCTAAATGACTTGCAGCCAATCTTATAAACCCTTTTCCTGTTCTTATTAAATGAATCACTGCAGTTTTTAGTGAATCACATAGTTGCTAAGCAAAAGCAGCTTCCTCCATTGACTTTGCTTGTCAGAAATTAACTGGAAAGGTTTCAGTTGGTGATCCCATGACACAAATTAGATACTAAAGTATTGTAAACACGTGCTGGTTGCCAAACACGTGAATTTTGATCATATGACCAAGGAGATGTTGCAACAGTTGTAAGTGTGAGGTCCAATTGTAAGACACTTTTTTCAGTGCCATTATAACTTCAAATCACTTAATTAATGATTGTAAATTGAGGATTGCCTGTACTGAATAAGCCACTTTTACATCTCCTATCATACATCACCAACAGAGAATTTTAATATAAATTTGATCTTTTTCTTTTTGTGCTATATCATCAGACATTGGCGATCATGTTGGCAATCCTATTTTTCTCAAAAAGTGCTGCTGAGTTTTGTCCAAACCAGTCCCTTAGATTTTGAAGCTATGATCTTCTTCTTCTGCCTGGACCTGCAGGACTCACTTAACAAATGAAGTGATTTGCTTAAATACCAGAGCAAAAGAGATTGGAAAACCAGGCACAATTCACTTAGCAGTTATCCTGTTTAGGAATAGAAATTCTGGTACCAATTGTGGTTGTAAGTCTAGGACTAATGCAATTTTACAATTTAACAAATATCTGAGATAGGCTTTCTAGAAGTCTTTGTTCCTTTATAAAAAGAAAAAAGAAAAAATAGGGAATACACATTTATTTTGCAATATTTAATTTATTTACAAATACATATGCATTTTAAACCCATTTTGAATTTTGCAACATTTTCATTTGTAAACTGCTCTTGAACTCCATTATTCCCCTTAATTAGAAGATGTCATTCATTAAAAAAAATCCAGTGATTATAAAATAATTTTGTACACATATGATCCTGATGAGTCTTCAAACATTCAGCTACCTGCCATAAGAAAGAAATGGTCAGAGCTGATCATGAATATCCAACATGGATGGATTTACGCAGTCTAGGATACAGAGAATGAGCCAGCCCTAATCTTTCCTGTAGCAGCACCTGGGATGGCTTCCTACCATTGCTGAAAACCAGTAGACCAGTTTTCTGCTATTTTGAGGTAAGGAGCCCAAAATATTTCTAATGAAAACTTAAATAGGGTTGCTAAGAACAAATAATTCCTATACACTCATAGTTCTTTATTTATATTATGATTTTTCCCCATAGAATAAAAAGAAACAAACAAAAAAGTGGAAAAAATAAACTCAAAAGATATATAAATGACTTCTAACCTTCAATAGCTACAATCTTATTGCCCCTCCTCCATTTTAGATATTATATAAGTCCTTCTTTTAATTCAAATCTTTCTTAATCTTGAAATCCATAAATCGTCATTCATCATTATTTCTTCTTTCAGCAAAAAAACCATATAAGTTTCCAATCTTTTGAAAAAGTTTTGGTGTTTTTTTCTCTCTGACTAAACAGGTCAGTTTTGCTATTTCTAAGAATTCTGACATTTTCATAATCTATTGTGGATTGTCCTTATTCTTCTATTAAACTCATACAATACTTTCAAATCCTAGCAGAAAAAATAAGAAGAAATAGCCTATCACTGTATTATGTAAGCTCTCCCAAATGTCCACCGCTAAAAGGTTGCTGTCTCCTATATTAGGTAGTCATTCTATTCCAGAACTCAAGGTTCAGTGATAATAAGGAAATAAAAAGCAGTTTGAACTAATGGTTAAGGTGCTGGCCTAGGAACTAGAGACCGTGAGTTCTGGTCCTGCTTTGGGCATAAAAAACAGAGTGGGTGACTTTGAGCTAGTCACTCTCTTTCAGCCCAACCCACCTCACAGGGCTGTTGTGGGGCAAATAGGAGGAGGGAGGAGTATTAGGTATGTTTGCTGCCTTGAGTTATTTATAAACAATAGTAAAGGCAGAAAAATAAACAAATACTCTAAGGAAGTGAGGAAACAACCAAGTGAAGTTCACTTGTGGATGACAAGGTAGACATTCAAGTCATTCTTTGTCAGTCTTTGTCGTTACTTCACACAATCCTACAAATTTGTGATAGCTTGTTGGTACAGCTCGGAGCGTTCCTTAGATTGCCCTGAATCTCTCCTGGATTCTGGCTCTCTTTTGGCCGAGATTTCATTGTGTACGTTGCTTTAACACTGCTGAGCATATCATTGCAAAAGTTGATGGCCTGTGGGCTGTGGAATCTCTCCCGCATGAGGTAGCCAAGTTGTGTTGTTGCAACAAAGCCTTCAGCTGTTGACACCATCCTGGTAATTTTTGCATGCACAAACTGAACTGCTAAGAGGGCCCCTGTGGAAAATGGGAACATGCCAGTGTCACAACAAGGAACTCAAATTATATTCAAACATTTTTTCCACCTCACAGCATTTCAGCAGGAGGGATCCAGATAGCAGCTTTAATCACACAGTTGGAGCTACTATCTTGAATTTCTTTACCCTTCTTCACCCCACACCTGCTTCAATATCCTACCACACATTTGAAGGAGATGAAGACACCTTGGTTTATTCCCCCAACTTTATGACAAGCTTTGAGAGTGCTACCTTATAAGATAACAGTGTCCAAACTTGCAGATTCCTAAAAATATGCTTACCTCGTGAGACATCCCACACTGTAATACGTTGATCCAAAGAGCTGATGAACAGGTACTGGTCATCCATTGAAAAACATGCACAGAAAATGTCACGGGAAAAGGAATCTTGCTGGGAAGAAAGGAACAAACAAACAAACAATGTTTTGGAAAAGTAATTCAATTCTACCAGAAAACAAACTGAAAAACAACATGCAAGACCAGATCAGTGGGAGAGCAAACAGGAGACAAATAAACTTGCTGAGGTGAGTCTCTAGAGATAAACATAAAAGCCACTGTTGGAGTGATAGCAAACAGAAGGAAAATATATTTTTTCTAAAACTTCTCTTCAATGCAGTCAGATTTAGACTAGATTATCCATCTCTAAAACCCTTAATTGCTTGAAAGCTGGATATCTTTGCTACCGTCTATTCCCAGGGTCTCTGCCTTGAAAGTGGATTATGTCCAAGTCCTTCCATTCAAGGAATGCCATCTCCATGGACCACACCAACAAACTGTTTGTGCTAACCTGCCTCTTTTCTGGAAGCTAGTATCTCTAGAATGAAAATTATGAATAATGGGCAGGAGAATATATCTAAATAAAGAAGGCACCCAAGTCAATTCAATAGTAAACTCTAGCTCTCCCTCAATCACTTGATTTCTTTTCACGAAACAGATACAAAATTGCTTTCTTGGCACAGTACAGATAAGATTTACAATGTCCTTCTAGAGGGTTTTTTTAATATTCCTATCTCAGGCATTTCCTGGGACTCTCCCATGCAAGTATGAATTAGATCTGAGTCTAGCTTTCTTAAGATCAGCTAAGTGCTGCCAATTACTGTGAAAAGCTTCATGTACTGAGATTGAGATTTGAGGAAATGTTAATATTTTAATTCCCCATCATGGTAGCTGTTCTGAAGTCTTCAGATGTTAATGCTCCTCTGTTCCCTCAGGATTACCTTCCATCTCTCCTCTAATGTCAGTTTTACATTCTAACTGGACATACCAACTTTGTGGAAGAGCAGAAATTCTACCTTCTGGAAAAACATCTGGTGCTCCCAGGAGCAGAGCTGAACATCCCAGAGACACAGCAGTGAATCTTCTGAGCCACTCAGCAGCCATTTCTCTCCATGGCTGGTCATCAGGCAGGTGATGCAGTTCCCATGAGCTTCTAGTGGGAACACATGGGCCTCCAAGCAGTAGTACATGAAGAGCTCCCCATTGGTCATTCCATAGAGCACTCGGTATCCAGACAGAAGAGCCACGTTAGAAATTGTGGCACCAGGGATCTGTGTGTAAAAGGTGTAAGCCGGGCGGTCAATCAAGAGACCCATCTCTTCCTGATGCAGATCCAGGACCTGCACAAGGTCATCACAGGCAACTGCCAGCTGATCTTCCTTCTGAGTGAGTGCCAAGTTGCAAATGGGTTTTGGGTTCTCTGATGGAGGGATGCAACCAACATCTTGCCTGGAATCCAAGGGAAACACCAGCACTGTTCCAGAAACCAGTCCAACAAAGAGAAGATTCTTCTGCTCAGCCACTTCCAGACACTGGACTGGAGCCGATGCATCCAATTTATCATGCTCCTTTCCTGGTGGGAGACAAATGTCAACAAGCACTGCCAATTCCTCCTGCTGTAGGTACTTCTCGACTTACAACCACAGTTGGAACTGGAATTTCTATTGCTAAGCAAGGCAATAGTATTCTCAGAAAGGAAAAAAAATACCTGGTGAACCATTATCTATGGAAGATAGGAGGCCTGGCTATCAGAGCCATAGTGGCACAGTGGTTAGAATTCAGTACTGCAGGCTAACTCTGCTCATTGCCAGGAGTTCAATCCTGACCTGCTCAAGGTTGACTCAGCCTTCCATTCTTCCAAGATTGGTAAAATGAGGACCCAGAATGTTGAAGGCAATGTTGAAACCTCTTAGAGAGGGCTGTGAATCACTATGAAAGGTTATATACCTTTAAGTGCTATTGCTATTACTAACAGAGGGGTCATATCTACAGGTACAGGACTATCTACAGTTGTCTTTGCCCCTTTGACTCAGTCTGGTAGGCAGGTATGCTCCATATCCCATCAATTTAAACTATGACATTGCCAACAGTGGAAAGGAAGAGATATAGTTCTCAGAGATACAATCTAATCAATCTGCTTTCTGGTAAGTCACTTTGTGAATGGCGAGTCTCTCTATTACAGCTATTTTGCCAGAATGTCCCTGACATGCTCTCCAAACTCCAAATGCCCCCAAAGTTTCCCTCTTTCTGTTCTGGAGCATTTGACCCAAAGTTTCTCTGCTAAACTTTTTGGCAGGGGTATCACTTACCTGCCTCTGTATCCCAAATGACAACACTAGAGCTGTAATAATCTTGGGGAAAATAAATGTATTTGGCATTGTGGGAAAGCCTGATGCAGCTCTTGCTTGCCATATAAGGTGGGAGTAGTTTGTGCTTGCGATCACAGCTGAGGTCCCAGACTCTGAGGTGAGATGTGTGGCAAGAGGCGGATACCAGGGTAACATCCCAGAGAGCCAGGTGTGTAGAAGGCGTCCCGGTATCAGTCAAAACATCTGTCAGCAAACCCTGTTTGGCTAGACACCAGACCTAGGTAGAAGAAGAAGCTGACTAAGGAAGGAGACAATTTCATTGCATGGTGGAGCTCATTGAGCAAAACAGGTTTAGGAGCTATGAACCAGAGATAAAGATTTGGATCTCAGAGGCTAGAAAAGTGGTCTGGTTTTTCAGCCCAAGAATAGTGAAACTTCCTAGCTGTGCTTGACAACATGATCCTATGCATTTATTTAAAAGTTCTTCCTGGTTAAAAGGAAAATACTTCTAGAGTACTTATAAACAACCTGTCCTCAGGGACCACCAAATTCATAATTTTAAATCCTGTGGACCAGAGACCAGAGACCCTGGGAAAATCCCAAAAAAAGTCTGCAGGAAAATTCCCCACCCTGTTTTCCTACCAATCCATCATTCTTTATTTGGGATTGCAAGATATCGTCTTCAGCTTCATTCTCAGGGGTGTTGGGGGGTGGGGTGGGGAGAGAAAGAGAGACTTTTGGCTTCATGCAAGGAAAGCAGCAGAAGTCTTTCTTTCTCTCCCCCAAACTCTAACAGAAACGAGTCTGTGTGAGACTTCCTGACAAGTAGTAACATAGTTTTCTATCCTTTTGAGCTATGAAAACTGCCCTAATAAATCCTGACCTAATCTTAGCTACAACTAAGCTAATCCCATACACAGCTGTAACTGTGTGATTGAAACTTCAGCTCTTTTTATGCCCATCACGTGCATGATACATATAGCTTCAACCACACAATGGCCAATTTGACTTGTTTCCTCCCCCCGACCCCCACCGCCCTCATCATAGAATGCCCTTGCCTTAGTCACATGTGAAACACACCTGTTTTGAAACATTACCCTATGCCTCTTACCCATATGCATTCATCCTGGGAACTTGTGACGATGGTGGTATGATCTGCTGAAATAGCAGCTGCACAAACCTCAGCAGAATGCAGCAAATCTGAGGCCAGGAGTTGATGGAATCCTGTCACGTTGCCCAGGAAAACTCTTACACGGTGCCCAAAACCTGGAACAATGCAGTATGCAAAATGAGATAGTGGCGTCCATAATAAGTGCGATGATGTTAAAATGACGGTGCAGGCATGATGAGGTCATCATGAAAAGCATGCAAATATGTAGGTCACGTAAGAACTGAATAGGAACTCAAATATCAGGTTCTGCTCTGGCACTCTGGTGTGCAAAAAGCTCATTGCATTGGCCAATAACCCAACTGAACCATAGCTTATACATCCACATTGACATACATCCCTGCCAAGACAATAGATAACCTGCCACTCCTGCCAAGGCAGGGATGTCAAACTCAGTTTCATTGAGGGCTGCATCAAGATTGGGAAGCATGACCAGCTCGATGTCATTTACACTGGGGGCACCTGTAGTGGCCCAAGCACTCTGCTAGTGAAACTGGGCTCCCAAGCTCTGTTTTTGGCTGCGATGGCCTCCTGCAACCTTCTGTCAGCAAAAATAGAGCTCGGGAAGGCAAAGTGTGACCCTCACGAGCTCCATTTTCACTGGCAGAGGTACTTTGCTGTTTCTAGGGCAGTCCCGCAGCCCAGTTCTAAACACCATGCAGGCTGGATCTCGCCTGCGGGCCTTGTCTTTGGCACTCCGTGCCAAGTCAATAGCCAACTATAATTGTTTTCAGAGTATGGTGGTTTTTTATTTTTGGGATGTGAGGGAGAGCTTTATGTGTAAAGAAGCTATTGTCTTGGAAGTGGACTATGATAGGGCTATGCCCAATGCCCTCCTTAATTCGCCCCTACTTTCCTTCCTACTTCTTATTTACAAAATTAAGTGGGAAGCTGACATAAGGCAAAGTACCAGCATCTAGCACCATCTAGATTGATCAGAATGCCTCCAGTCTCAATATAAGATGTACATTTTAGGTGCAAAATTGCTAAAAAGAAAGAGAGAGAGTCAAAGACAAAGCTAACTAGATTAGAATATAGAAGACATCTAGGTGGGGATGGTGAGAGACCATGAAGGGACCCTTCTGATGAATGGAAATTTCATGATTAACGACAGCCATTATAGAAATCATTTTTGTAAGAATGTCCCATCATTGCATTTTACTTTTTGTAAGCTGTAAGAAGTCTACTATGATTCAGTAGTAGACAGATTTAAGTAACAATAACAATTACGACAACATATGCTGAACATCCCAAATGTGCCCGCTGGCAAAAAAATTTTTTGCTAGTTTTTGCCAAGTGTCAAGTGATTAAAGCCAATCTTCTAGGCTTACAGAGATTAGAAGATCAGCATTAGCCTTAGGCAGCTACTTTGTTGATATGATACAGCTATTAAATGACATTATTCACCAATGTAGAGTAAGGGAGCAGGATATTCACTCAAACCTGTTGCCAGGAGAGATTCGTCTTTTGAAAGCACCACAAAGCTGATCCTTTCTGGGAGCTTTTCCAGCAGGCTGTGTCCATCAGAAGAGATCTGTCAAGAGAGGCACGATTGGGGGTGGTTGATTGAGTAATAAGAGATCTCACCTCCATCCCATTCCGCCCCCATCCTCGCCATGTGTCTTTGTTTTTAATATTTGGTTTTAACTTTTTATGTTTTAGCTTAGATGTAACTGTAAGCCGCCCAGATTTACCCCATGGTAAGTAAGTAAGTAAGTAAGTAAGTAAGTAAGTAAGTAAGTAAGTAAGTAAGTAAGTGAAGGAAGGAAGGAAGGAAGGAAGGAAGGAAGGAAGGAAGGAAGGAAGGAAGGAAGGAA